ACTAGGAAACACTTGCTTCTCACCTAGAGAGGCACTGCAATAGCAGTTTTAGTTTTCTGGGGACGTTTTTTAGATTTTTTTTTTTTTTTTGGTAAGGCTGTGAAGGGAACGCTACCTAAGTTATATTACATGTACAGGTGTAAAATTATTAGGTACAGGATACAGAGGTAATTTTCTGAGGAGCTGAATATGCAACTTGGGTTATCGTTGTAGTCACAGGAAAAAGATCAAGCTGTGTGTGACTTCAGCCATCCCTGGGGCCAGAGAAAGCAGTGGCATGTGGGGTGAAGGAAAAAAACCCCATGTTTTGCTCCTTGTTAGTCTGGCTAATGCAAGTGGCACAACAGAGCTGTACCCTGTTATCAGTTGTCCTGACAAACCTTTCTCTGCCCACTGGTCATTGCTCAGAGCTACCTGGGGGTGGTCCATCCATGCATTTTCCCTAACATAGGCCTGAGAGAACACCTCCACATTGGTCTTCATCTTTATTTTAAAGCAAAGCAGTTATGGTTTGTATAGTTGTAGCCTGTAACAGAACACAGAAAACTGTCTTTTTGCTTTCACTCTCAGGTGTCAGTTTAAGTAGTTTTATCAGAATATTGTAGCCAATACATCATTCATGAGTTTTCTTTCTTAACTGTTGGCTGTGACTGGCACCTATTTAAGCATCACTGCTTTTTCAAATGCCCTGCAGTTATCCAGAGATAAATTTCCCAAACTTACAATTCAAAGCCAAGGTGCCTGCAAGCCACATTTGCTTCATTCATACTCCATTCACTAGCACATACAAAACTATCATCCTTATGATTCATGGGTTTTACTCGAAGCAAACTTGAATCGCCATGATCCAGATCGACTGAAAACGTTTCTTAAAAAATAAAAAAGAAAGAAATTTTAAAAATCCCCAAACAAAATCATATTATATAGGTATTATTATAGATATTATATTGTATTATATATATTATATAGATGTATCTAGTGGAAAGACAGCACAAAACCAAATCAGGACTAATTTTGTATTTGAAGCCAAAGTTCATATGGAAATAACAGTAGATTGGGAATCAGAAGGTTCAGGTATTATTCCTGAATTAGTTCTGAGGGTTGACTTTGTGTCTTTGAGCCTGCTAATTTCTCAGAATATGACAGTTTAAGGATAAATGAGGGTGGTGGGTCCATAAGAGTATTTGAAGATCTGCCAAGAACAGGTTGCATTTTAGTCTAATGACCTTCTTTAGGGGATTTTTGATAACCAACCAGTAATACTTGAAGTGAGAGGGCCACATCCACTTCTATTATTTGTGCTGCAAAATGCCTGCAGCAGTCTGTGTAGCAAAACCAGCAGCAGGGTGACCTGGGCCTGTCAATCATGTTATTTTTTATGAAAATCAGCAGATACTGCCCATTTTCAGTGACATTTAATTTTCTGTTTCATGCTGTTACTAGTGCAAGAAAATGAACATACTTTCTGTAAATAGGGTAAGCATCTCCTCAGCCACCCCTGATGGATACATTTCTGAAAAGAAGGTGTAAATACCTTCAGGCTTGCATGTTCCCTTGTGCAGAAACTTTGCTTTGGGTTGCTGACACTCATAGCTCTTCAGCTGACAGTAAGTACGGAAGGTCTTGCCATTGGCAGAACAAACTGCAGAGCCATTCTTTGGGCACTGGTAGGGAAGCTTGCAGAGGCATTTTCCCTCCACACATCGTTCCCATGGGTGACAAAAAACTTTCCTACAGGACTTGTGGGTGAATTGGTTGCCCAAGCATTCTTCTATGAGGTAGTTGTCTTGGTCAGCTGGCTGGGCAGGCTTAACCTGTTGAAGGTGGTTTTCTGCAGCATTAGATGCTGCACTCTGCAAGGCACACAAAAAATAATTTAAATAAAAGCAAGATTGGGGACTGCACCAAGAGTTTTGCATCCCTTCACTGACCTCAGCAAAGTGCCCATTTATAAGCCTTTTCCTATCTAATCAATAGTTCCTAAATACCATTTATAGTGTTTGTTCCCTTGTCTTTCGCCAACTCATCTTTCTCAGTTTTTCTGAACTATTTTTTTTCTTTTTGGATTATTTACCTGGTGTGATCTTCACTCTTACTGATCTGCCACAAACTTTATGCTCTTTACTTTTCAAACATCAGCTGAGGTGCACAGCAGAGTGGAAACATTTTTAAAGGCATTGGTTTATAACACATCCCAGCAATTAGACTGCAAGCAGATTAAAACATAAAGGAATTTAAGCACCAGAGAAAGAGAATAGCAATTTGTTTGGTTTTTTCCCAAAGATTTGTTTTATTGGCCTGGTTGACTTTAGATTTAAATATCATCTGTAAATATTTATGAACTACTTACTAGCAAATGAATGTATAATTAATGATTTATTTTGCAGAGTCCACGTGACTGCTCAAGTAAAAAGTACCTCAAGTACCTTAACAAGTATCTGAAAGCAATTTGAAAATTAAGTGCTCATCATTATCAGCGTTTTTCCTGTGTCTTGCACAGCAGAGGGTTTGCAATGTGGATGCTTCCATCACTGGACTGCAGGTGCAGACTGTGACCCTCCCTCTGATGCCCTCTGGGTGAGTGGCACCTTGTTTGTGCAGTCCTCTGCTGACTTCTGTGTGCTGCCCGAGTGCTTTTGCTTACTAATGTCTGCGGGTAGGATGGATCTTTGAACATGGAAAATATATATGGATGGCCTCTGTGTAAAAACGGGAGAAAAATAGTCCTCAAATGTGATTTATCAGTTTTGGCTGTGTCAACTGGATCAATAGAGCTGAAGTTTAAAGTTCTCATGAAATCCTGCCCAGAGTAAAGTCAGGAAGGATGTAGCTGGGGCAGAATTCAATCCAATACCTCTCCTTTTCACGGCTATATAATCTTATTAAATTCTTCCTGCTGTTCTTGGGCCAGTATAATCCAAACTGGGAGCCAGATCCGCCTTGGCTCAACTCCCATATTGTGCTAGGTGTTCCTCCTCATGGGGAACAACAGGTGCTGATTTTTATCTCAGAACTTCTCTGAAAGGCTCAGATTGGCTTTCCTGGACACTTCTACCTGGAGAAAATCTGCAGGAAACCTGCTGGCAGTAGGAGACTACCATGCTGCCATAGTACAAGACTGCAATCCCATTTCTCAAAAAAGGGAAGTGGGGAATATTGTAGCACCTTTCTGTGGTCAGCCACGCTTGCAAATTTGGCATAGGATCATGATTAAAATCTTTTCCACAAACCTGTTAGCATAAGCCCCAGGTAGAATCAAAACATTAAAGAGAAATAGCAAACTTCAAACATTCAGGCTGCGTTAAAACAAATATATGAAGCACAAATACTATGAAAGGAACTTTTAAAAAATCAATTGGCTTTGCTTTTATAACAATAAACTGTTTATTTAACGTTTTAAAAAATTACTGCCAACACAATAAAACATATCTTACCTCTGATCCACAAAGACAAAAGAGACACAAGAAAACCAAGCAAACTGGGAGCATTCGCATGATGAAATTTTATCTCCCTTCCTAGACAAATTCCTCTGGCTGGGATTCTTTTGAATATCAGCTGTTAGATTTGGGTTTAATTTTTAACCATTAGAAAAATATTTTCAAGTGTGTTTAGAAATAAAGTACAGGAGCCTCAACTATTAACCGATAAATCTGGTATGTTTGAAAGATCATGCCTTAATTGGTTTTATCGTAAGTGGATGACGAGGTAACGAAAGCCAAGCCCTTGAAGTAAAGAATTAAAGGGAAGCGCTTGTTGGGGTTGTAATTTTTTTGTGCAGAGGGGTCCGATCGATCCATGGCTCCGGCTGCCCTGAATGCAGGCGTTCCTGCCATGCTGCTGTGCCAAGTGAGTGCAGGCGTTCCTGCCTGCCGGGTCACCCAGCAGGATGAGCGTGCTCCCACACGGCCCCGTGCCCGCGGCCCGCCCCCATCCCCGGCCCGCCCCCATCCCCGGCCCGCCCCCATCCCCGGCCCGCCCCTATCCCCGGCCCGCCCCTATCCCCGGCCCGCCCCTATCCCCGGCCCGCCCCTATCCCCGGCCCGCCCCTATCCCCGGCCAGCCCCTATCCCCGGCCCGCCCCTATCCCCGGCCAGCCCCTATTCCCGGCCCGCCCCCATCCCCGGCCCGCCCCTCCCCGGGAGGCGGCACAGCTACGGGGCACGGGAGCCCCTTTGCGACACCGCCCTTTCATTTACGGCAGCAGCCCCGTTTGCGGCAGCGCGGTGTTTCCGGCGGCGGCGCGCACGTGCAGGTACGTCTCGCGCGGGGGCCGCTGCCGTGTCTGTCTGTCTGTCTGTCCGTCCGTCCGTCCGTCCGTCCGTCATCCCCCAGGGAATGGCCCCGCCAGCCGGCGTGCCCCCGCCTTTCAGCTGATAAACAATCCCGAGGGCCCTGTGAGGCGCTGCGGGTGCGCGCCCGAGCAGTGCGGCCTCCCGAGGGAACCTCCCGAGGTTTAACGGGGCCGAGAGGAAGGGCCGGGACCACCCCTGGTGCCAGCGCGGGCTGTGAGGGATGGACAGAGGGAGAGCAGCTCTGCTGAGAAGGACTGGGGGTGCTGGTGGTGACAGGATGGACATGACCCAGCAATGGAGTCATGACTGACAGCTCAGGGAGCCAAACCTGTCCTGGGCTGCATCCAGAGCAGTGTGGGCAGCAGGGACAGGGAGGGGATTCTGCCCCTCTGCTCTGCTCTGCTGGGACCCACCTGCAGGGCTGCATCAGCTCTGGGGTGCCCAGCACAGAAGAGACGTGGAGTTTTTGGAGCCGACCCAGAGGAGGCCACGAAGGTGGTCACAGGGCTGAGCACCTCTCGTGTGCACTCTCTGCTCGGCCTGAGTGTGGGGATTCTTTAGCCTGGAGAGCTCGAGAGGGACTTTTCACAAGGGCACACAGGGATAGAGTAAGAGAAGATAGTTTTAAACTGAAAGAGGGTGGGTTGAGGTGGGATATTAGGAAGAAGTTCTTTACTGTGCCAGTGGTGAGGCACTGGAACAGGTTGCCCAGAGAAGCTGTGGGTGCCCCATCCCAGTGGGTGTTCAAGGCCAGGTTGGATGGGAACCCGAGCAGCCTGTGGAAAGTGTCACTGCACATAGCAGAGGGGTTGGAAGTAGTTGACCCTTAGGATTCCTTCCAATCTGAACTATTCTGTGATATTCTCACTTTGTGCCACTTATGGGGCTGGGGACTGTCATCAGCCCTTATACAGATGAGTGAAAAAAGTGCTGATCACTGCTAGTCACTTTTTGCAGATGGATGTTGCAGTGGATGACATCTCAAGTGTAAACTGGATTTTTCACTTGTTTTTAGTGAGGACTGAAAGCATCAAACCATTGAATTAACAAACCAGGCTGACAGGACACTGCAGTTTGTACAGCGAATCAAATGTGACACGTCTTTTGTATCTTAAATGACTGATTTTTTTGTTCACAATGTAGGAAACAGTAGAGAATGTCTTTTCGTGGAAGAGGAGGTGGAGGAGGAAGAGGAGGTGGCTTCAGCCGTGGAGGAGGTGGCGGTGACAGAGGTGGCTTTAACCGTGGTGGGCGAGGTGGCTTTGGACGCGGAGGTGGAAGAGGAGGCTTCAACAGAGGAGGATATGACCAGGGCCCTCCAGAAAGGGTAGTTTGTAAGTTACATGGAGAAACTTCATTTTATTTCGATTGTCTGCTTCAGCTCTTTAGCTTGTTTGTTCTTTATTTCAGTGTTGGGAGAGTTCATGCATCCCTGTGAAGATGACATAGTTTGTAAATGTAAAACAGAAGAAAACAAGGTGCCTTATTTCAATGCCCCAGTGTACCTGGATAATAAGGAGCAGATTGGCAAAGTGGATGAAATATTTGGACAGCTGAGAGACTTTGTATCCTTTAAAAAAATGTGTGACTTATAATATTTGATTTTTAAAAATTGATTGGATATGAAATGGGATTTCTCTAGGATTTTAAAATAGTTCAGGGTTACATGTGAGTCTTGCTGCAGCTGTAGGTGCTTCATTCACATTAAGTGCCTATCTTACAGCTTTTTTGATATGACAGAGTACTTGAAGTCAACCACAGATTTTCACCCTTTAGCAGTACAGATGATGTGTTTTGGATCCATGGTGGTTCAAGTTGTTACTTTTTCTGCCCAACTGACCAAATTTTCTGCTATAGGTTACTAAGCCCTAACAGAGTTGGATCAAGGGCCTTGCAGATTTTTGTACATTAGGGGACCTTGCTCATGCTCCAGCTCATTATTTAATTACAAAGTGAGTTTATACTAAGATGTCCTGTTGCTCATTTTCCAGTTTGTTACTTAACCTGCCCATAAAAGTGGGATGTGCTAGGACATCTCTGGCAAAGCCAGCCTGACACAGAGACACTGGGTGCATTCTGTTGTCACTGCCAGGTGGACAGAATCCATGACAAAAGCAGGATAGCTGGGAGAGTAACCTTGTAACACGTCAGTTAAGACTCAGCCTGTGTTGGTTGGTTGAGCACCAGTCACTAGCTATGTGCATTTTCATCTCCCACATTAAATGTGAAGTAAAATGTGCAGGTTTAAATCACTTCTCATTGCAATTGTGATAAAATTTAGCTGAATTTATGAAATGCTAACTTAGAAAATATCTGAATGTTCCTTCCATATACTGATCAAAATCACAGTTTTTAGTGTTTTATTACTGCAATGCTCCTTAAAGAAGCCAATAGTATTTTTCAGTGAAACTGTCTGAGAACATGAAAGCCTCTTCATTTAAAAAAATGCAAAAGGTAAGTCAATCTCAGTAACAAAATTTTACTGAATGTCATCAGTTAGCTAAGTAATTTGTCAGCAGATAATAAAAGCTTTATTAAGTATTTAATAACTTTAAAAGCAGATTGTCCTATGTAAACATAGGAATTAACTTCCTCATCCTTTCCAGTTTTGTGTTTGCCACATTATTCCTTCTCCCTGCCACATGAGAAGAGATGCAATAAAATCACACAAATATCACCTATATTTTAGCAGCTTTTTCATTCTGGGATTTACTTCTTGTGTGCTTTCTCGATTTGGCTTTTTGCAGAGAATAGTTTGACATAATGGGATAAGACCAAATTGTGGATATTTGTAAAGAGAGATACTAATGTGCTTCTTAGTCTTGGTATTTTGAAAGCCTAATGGAATTCTCTTCCTGCAGTTTTACATTGATCCAGCAAAGCTGCTACCTCTTCAGAGATTTTTGCCAAGGCCCCCTGGAGAAAAAGGTGCTCCCAGAGGAGGTGGTAGAGGAGGACGTGGTGGTGGACGTGGGGGAGGAAGAGGTGGTGGCAGAGGTAAGATCACAAGAATGAAAGCTGCAGAATGTTGGAATTATTTGAGATGCTGTGGGTTGCTTTGGTCATTGTTCTGTGGAGTATTTGTGTTTTGTTTTCGAAAGCTTCTGGTGAGTACTTGAATATCCACAGCTATATTGCAAATAAAACTGTTTCTGCATGACTTTATAGAAGAGGCAGTGATACCTTTCAGGTGGCGAGACTGGCTAAATAACAGCTCCAAAGCCTAGGGAGGAGAGAATGCTGATTTATAACAAAGGTAGCTTTTTGAACATCACCTGTGATGTACTCTTCAGTTAAAGCTGAAGTTTATCTCTTCTTACATCAGAGTTTCTTTTCCATACCCTACCCTTTTGCAGCAAGGCATGAGTGTTTTAGAGGGGTTTTGTTGGTTTGGTTTAATGTTGAGTTGTAATTAATAGATAATAATGATTAATAGTTGTAATGTATTACTGGTTAATATATGTAATTTATTTTTTAATTTTGTGAAATAAGTCCATTGTTAAGTCTCTTTAGTATTTTCAGCATGGGATATCAGATATTAAGCAATACCTAAAATGCTCCAGATGGTCCCTAGAAGAAACAGGGTAGTAGTAATTGACCTGGTAACTGTCTGGCAATTGACAGTTTCTGGTTTTTTGTTGTTGTTCGTTTCATTTCAGAAGCTGTCATTGAAATAAGTTGTACATAACCAAGAATTTACATGCTCCTCAAAGGGTAATTTCTTTCTTTTGTTTAGGAGGATTCGGAGGAGGCAGAGGTGGAGGAAGAGGAGGAGGATTCAGAGGAGGTAGAGGTGGAGGAGGAGGAGGATTCAGAGGAGGAAGAGGTGGTGGAGGAGGCTTTCGGGGTGAGTGTGTGGTTTTTACCTTTCAGTAATAAGAATAGCTCCTAAAAATGCTTGTAAATATTAAAATAATTTAAAGCTTGTAAATATTAAATGGAATGTTGTGATTTTTAATGTCTTATAGATGTTTATAGTTCTATGCAAGATATTTCTTTGAATCCTGGTAGTTTAAACTGAAGTACAGTACTCTGCATTTATTGATACATGTATAAAACCATGTTAGTTTTTCGCATTTTATTTTATCGACTCATTCAATGTTATGTATAGAATTTGCTTTAAACACAAGTAAGATAAGAATTGGTTGATGTATTTTTCTTTTCTCTTAAAATAGGAAGAGGACATTAAAAATGGAGCCATGAGTATCTCCTCATTTTCTCACCATGTCATCTGCAGAAGCAAAGAACCATGAAAAATTTTTGTAAAGGACCCTGAAAATCTTTTTATAAAGAACTTGAAGATACAAATGACAATTATTTTTACACTTAATGACTGTTCATGGACGCATGAGGAGAGTGTAGCCCCAGGTGAAGAGCTGAAGACTGCTCAGAATATGTAAACTTTACTAACTGAGCCATGATTCGATGTTATTCTTAAGCTGTTTGTTTCTCACAAGCAGTGCAGTCAATGCTTAACTCCATGTTGGAGTTTGGAGTGAACAATCGGTTGAAATGAATTTTCAAAAGACCCTACAGGTTCACTGCATGCACATGCTTCAGTGTAAACTGTGCATGACTGATCCCTGGTTCTCATCCTCCTTTTATATCGAATCTTCTGGGCTGCTCTGAAGTGGACATGCCATTTAAACAACCTTTGTGAACCTTTTTTATATAAATTAAATTTCAAACTTTTGTGTTGATGATTTTTCAAATGCATAATAATGTATAAGAGAGTAGACAGCAGAGTATATTTTGTGAATTTTTCTGTATAAATATTAATGACAGCCAAAGCATTAAGACATAGTCCTCTTAGAGGGTGCTCTCTAATGAACAAGACAAGATTAATACTATACTTAAGTCACCTAATGGTATCTAATTACACTGATATTAAAACCCGAAAGGTTTTTAATTGGCCCTGCATCTCCCCCTTAGCCTGTTTCTATTGAGGTTTTGATGTCCTGGTACTGCACCTCTGTGGTGCTCTGGGTTCTTGCAGAGCTGAGATTAAATAGCTCATCACAGGGCTCCTCTGCACACAGTACTTTCAGTATTGCTTAGAAAGGCATGACAAAGTCTGCATGAGTCTTTAAATAGATGCGTTATGAGGCTTGTTGGAAAGATAGTGACTGTCTTATTAAGGAAGAAGACCTCCAGGTCTCCCTGGAGGAGACCAGGGTGACTCTCTGCTCTGGAACTTTGGAAATAAAATAGGTGAAAATAGAACTTCCCTGGATTTCTTTCAGCTGGAGCCGGGAGTCTGTTCACAGACTCTCCTACCAAGCACTTTTGAAAAGGGATCTGTAGAATAATGTATGTGCTACGATTTCAAACATCTTGTTCAGTGTGAAAAAAGTTCTTTTCCAAATTGATTGCACTGTTATGCTTTTTAATTGATGAATGCAGTAATAGGCAGTTTAATTATGTTAGCCTTCTGCTTAACAAAGGCAGCAGATATTTTTTCAGTACCAGGATTGGACAGTTACTGCATGTTTTAACAAATGTGACCATTACTTTTAATAGTGTCAAACAAAACTTGAAAGAGTGGAAAAACAAACATTAAAGAATTCATTTAAATGTGAATAGATACTGCAAAGAATAATAGATAAAATGTTCTTCAGATTAAAAAAACAAAACACAGAACATTGAATTTCTGCTAGGTCTGATTTTGGGAGAAGAAGCTGAGTCTACTCTTAAACCCAGGAAATGAGGGATTCCAGGTTTTTTCCCTGGTATTGCTGCAAGCCTAGCTTTAGCCAGGTCAGTTAAATCCAGAACTGTGAGAATGATTAGGCTTTTGTTGCTGTGCATTGCTAGGCCTAAGTGCCTCGGGGCTTTGACTTGAGGCTTTGTGAAATTGCCTTTCATCTAAATACTTTGCAAGTAACTGCATTTTGGGCATTCCGTGTTGCAGCTGAACAACACAAACCCAGTGCACCTGCAGTGTCAGTACTTCTGTCATGCTTGCAGTTGGATCCTCTGCTGTGCTGGGTTTCTTCACTGGTGCTTCAGTAGTGGGCAGCTGGCTCGGATACTCTTATTGCCCTGGGTTTGAAAGACTAGCAGCGCAGTCCTCACTCTTACAGCCAAATTCATGCTGCTCTTTGCTATTCTCTGGGACATGCTTTTTGCCAGGGTGTCAGAAGGCTCCTGCCATGACCTGTGGAGTGTAGGGAGTGAGAGGCAGTGCTTGGCTGCAGGCAGTGCTGCCTGGCAGCCCAGGAGCAGGCGAGTGTGCTGAGTCTCAGCAGATGGAGCAGTGAGTCAGCCTCAGGCGCTGCAAGGGCAAAGCAAAGGCTTTGACCTCTGTGCAGAGGGGCTAAACAGCAATATCCATTGCAGCTCTGGAGGAAAGATTGGCCTCTTGGTTATAGGGAAGGGATTGCAGTCCCAATGGATGAGGACCATTATGGCATGGCCTATGCATACAGTGTTGGATGGATTTTATGCAAATATCCAGAGAAAATTTATAATAGATCTCCACGGAGGTTGTAGGATGTTCTTTGGATGGAAAAACATACAAAGAATCTGTCTCAATGTGTTTGCCATATGATGATGCCTTTTTTTCATTCTCCATTCTAGGGAAGGGGGGTGTTTGCAAGGCACATTAAGTCCCTGTTCTGTGTTGCCTTTTTGCCATGGTGTGACCCTGCCCTCCTAATATAAGTAAGGTCCTAACAGTAACAGATGAAAATTCAGTCCCAAAAAAATGAAGATGTCTTGTCTGCAATGTAATGCTGTAATGAACTAAGACAGAAGTTCTCTAATTTTATATGACATCTTTCTCTCAGTCTTGAACTTCTAATTCAAATCCTAGCTGTGAGTCTGTCAAAGTGCTCCTGATCTTAGTAAGTGAAATGTTCTGGATTTATTTATGCGCATAATTACAGATACTCTGTGCTGCTGCTGCAGAGAATAGGAGAGGGGCTCACAGGAACTGTGACAGAAATAGGTGTGTTGGTAGAAGTGGCAAATTTCAAGTAGTTGTGTCTGGAGAAGAAAAGTCAGAGTGCAATCTGAAGTGAGGGGAGTGGGGGTAAGGTGTTAGTGTAGGCTCTGGATGACTGGTGCTCCCCTTTCTGGTAGCACGTAGCTGGACCATCTAAATAGCTTCTCATCTGCCACCTGCTCCAGCAGCACAAGGGGGGGTTGCTGTCCTGGAAATTCCTTTGAAGCTCAGGTGGGCTTCGGAGCAGCTCAGTACGCAGCAGTAGTGGTGTCAGCTACTTGCGCCCTCCTCCACTCCCATGGCGGTGTTTGACCCAGGTGTAGGGTCTGACTTTGAGCTGGTTTTGAAACTGACACCTGGTGCATCACCAGGATCAGATTGCTTACAAGTGTTTAGAAGACCTGGAGCCTTTTGTCCATACCACAGCAAAATTTTGGTTTTGTTTTTTTTTTATTTTGGGGTTATTTTTTTGGGACCTGAATCCTCCTTAAACAGAGTGTAATACATGGTGGTGTATTACAAGGCTTAAATTGTTACCTATTGAGGATGGCTTTAGTGCCCCTGCATTTCTTGCACAGTTGTTTATTTTGCTTGTGTTTTCTGCAGATGCAGGGATAGGATGGCTCAAGGTAGTTCATAGATTTGCTGTGTTAGAGAAATTTGATGAAGTGCAGAAAATAATTGGGATATTTTAATGTAAGTCTGCAACACTAGCAGTTGTAGAACAGGAAGGATTTTCTCTGGCACTGACCTATACGTGTGGATGTTTGCCTGAAGAAATGCTGGATTGTTGCACTTATACTGGTGCAAAGTTATTTGCAGTTGTGTAAAGCATTGTCTTGATATGACAAGAGTATTGTCATGAATTGGCACGAAAGAATATTTTTTATCAAAAAAAGGAGCATAGCTATTGTGTGATGTATGGCAAGGAAAAATCTTAGTGGGGTTGTGCACCTTTCAGGGCTTCCAGCTGAAAATCTCTATAGAGCAAAACTTTTCTAACCAGCAGCTTAAGTCTAGTAAAAGCCTTTACGAACTACGAGAAAGAGGCACTTTGTTAATTTGTTTTCCTTGGGGTTTGAACCATTTGCATCCCTTTGGGAAAAGGTTAAACGGACGATTTGCCTTAGATGGCCCTCCAGCGTGGAGGGCATAGTAAACGTGGGAGGGGTTGGGTTTGGGATGGGTTTGTAGGAAGAGATTTGGGGTTGGTTTTGGTTTCCAGTTTATTTATTTTTTATGCAAAAGGTTCGTTTCTCTACTCACATCGTTCATGCATTAATATATATTTTATACATAAGTGAAAGCAGCTTGTTAAATCTCACATTGCATTGCCCCACATATATATAGAGATACATGCACATTGAAAAATGGATTTTAATAAGTTACATTTTGCTACTGATCTGGGACAGGTGGGAAGGAAAAGCATCACTTTATAAGGTGCCCCTCTGACACCTGTAATGCTATGTTATTGAAGGATAAAAACAGCCTGAGCTTTTGGATTTTATCTTCTTATACCAGTATTAATAAGCAATGTGGTAAGGCATATTTTATCTGGCTTAGAAGCTGTGGATTATTTTTATACTTCAATATTTTCCTGGTTTATATTTTTGACTTTATTTTATGAACTACAGTGTTGCAGAAAAAATACTTTTAATGATGTCTGCCTTTAGTTTTGACTTTTCTCTGTCAATTCTGTTGCTGTAAAATTAGACAAATTTGAGAAGAGACAGAAACAATTGATAAATAGCAGGGACTGCATATATTCCAAAGTTGTATTTAAATCAACAAGTATAAGATTTCCTTTGTTAATTGCTACTGTACATCTGGAATCCTATCTGACTAAAAATAGTAATGGTTTGCTTTTTTGAGACATTCGGCATAGCTCTGACTTCTGTGGAAGCTGCAAGATCTGAGGTGCTTTTGAAAATCTTGCCAAAGTGTCAGAGGAGGAAAGCAAAGATATCAAATTATTGTCATAACTTTTATCTTTCAGGGCAGGACAGTGTAGCACTAGGAAAGTGGCTTCATTGCCAAACAGACCATTCCTTTTAGAGCCCTCCCACCCTGTTCCTGCCTAATCCTCTTCTGACAGGAAAAACACTGTAATAATACAAATACTCTGAGGGCTGTGAGTGTAGATGTGGGACATTAAAGGAAACGTTTGCTCGCAGGACTGTGATGTGAGATCATGTGTAGTAATGATGACTACATGTTGCGACTGCACAGGTTTATATAAAATTTTTCTTACCTTTATATTCAAAAGAAAAAAGCAGGATGTTTGTTTTGGAGAACTGAGGAGTGTGAGGAAACGCTCTATGAGTATTTCACAGGTTAGAGAAGAGAGGGCTCTTCAGGTATACTTTCCATGGATTGAGTGTATTCCTGTCTCACTTCACCCTTACTGCTGCTCAGAAGGCACAGCCCTAGCCTGGGACCTGCTTGACCTACCTGGGAGCCACATACAGCTGAAGATCCACTGGTGCTCATCTTTGCCACATTTACACCCAGTATGAATACTGACTGAAGGCAAAAACTGTATGAAGCAGGATTGAGGGGGAGCAGCTGCTTTCTGATGCTGTGTATAAGTCCTTTGGCCAAGGACTTAATGCAGCTATTATTTATGTAGGGTTTTTTTAAGTCTTTGCTTTTGTATGCTGGTACTTCATCATTGAAGGGAAGAAAACAAGCTTTTGCTGCTCAGATCTTTGAAAAATGTCCAGTAAGATGCTTTTGAAAATTTGCCCAGAGTAAGCTTATATGTACTGTGTTTAGCAGAGGGAGGCATATTCAACAACCATTTTCTATAGACCAGGCTATTTTAGAAATGAGGCAGCTGAGTTTTCTGAAAGTCATGCTTCACTTAGGAAAATACTGGAATGTGTTTTACTTGTGTCTTTGTCAGAGACTTAATTCAAACAAAAAACCTTGAAGAAGTAAGTCTATAAAGATTTGAAGGGATGGGCTTTACAGTAAATATATCCTGTTTTTAAGGAAACTGACATTTGTCTCTTCATGTTGTACTGCAGGTTTTTGTGCTTTTTTTTGCGTGATGATGGGAATTAGTTCCAAGCCAGGCTGATGATTGAATTGAGTCAAGTTTTGTTGAGGTTTCCAAAGCATTGCACAAGAGATTTCAAGGGGAAAAGTTTGGGGGCATGTGACAGTTAATCTCATTAGCTATAAGAATGAAGTTTAAGCATACTGTTCAAAATTTACTCAGTTCTGTGCTGCTCTTTGTTTTAATTAACAATCTCCTGCGTAGATTGGGAGCGTAAACTTCTTTCCACTTTAGTCCAATTAAATCGTGCTTGGAAGCTATCAATGGTGGGGGGAGCCCCTCCCTACCCCCCTTCTTTTAATTGTTCAGTGAGTCTAGTGAATAATGGAAGAATTTGCCTGACAGGGTTTTGTTGTGTTTCGTCTTCTTGATGAATTATTTCAGAGGATAGACGGCAGTCTTGTCAAAAATGCATTGGAATGACTCATCCAATTCCTCAGAAAGTGACGATGAAGCTCATTCAGCCTTCACACAGACTGAGCACAACATAGTTGCAGCTTACTTGATAACAGCAGGTATGGGCATTGGCAAATAATTGCATAACTTTTTAAGAGAGAACTTGTAGATCTGGATGCTCATTTTGTAAAGTCATAATGATGGTATTTCATTTTGTATTAGACAGCTGTCTGATGGCTTTTCTCCATGTTTTACTGACAAGTTAGCAATCAGCTGCCTGACTGAAATATGCAGAAACATCTGAAGTGTGCAGAATCTAAGTTTTCCTCTCTATATTTGAAGGCAGCATTGTGTCTCAAAAAATAAATTTTGTTGATATGTAATTATAGAAGAGAGTGAGAATTAGGTTTTGCCAGCTTGCAAAATAGATAAAAATAGGGCATAGCTGTCACATCTTGCATTTTTCTGTGATGTGCTCGCAGCTATCTTAAGATTTCTCCTGGGCCACATGTGTGTAGTAATATATGTGTAGTCTGAGCATGTGAGCGGGTGTCTGTGAGGGGATGTAAGGGGAAGGGTTGGAATGTGACTTAGAGGGAGGGAGCGGGTCATTAATCAGAGAAGAGCAGATTCCAGTTGCAGCTGTATTTTTCACCAATGACACGTGTTAGAAAAGCACACTGTGAGGCTTCACATCGTTTTTGTTCCCTGTGACTGCTGTGGTCTTTGGCTAAAGTTAAATGATCATAGATTTATTCTTATTCTCTCCTTAAATACATTTTTATTGTATAACCACAACTTCTTCAGTAGTTCTTTTCTGAAGCATTGAGTGCTATAGTAATTGAATATCCACCTAACCAAAATGGAAACCTACTGTGTTTAAACCTTCTACACCTTTATTATGGAAAATCAAATCAGTTTATTCTTTATTCATTGGCTGTACCGCAAATGTTCCCATGTTGTAGTTAGATTCTAAAATACTTCAAAATATGAATGTATTTTACATTTATATGAAATAGTATCACTGATGGTCGCAGTTTATTTAGCATATATATCTGAACTAGTGAGTATCAAATTGCTGTACTGGAAAAGTGGATATTTTTGGATGCAAAGACAATAATTTATTGAAGGTCTTTGGAGAAATTGATAGAACAGCTACACAGAACATTAGGCATCTTAAGAAGCTAAATAGTAGAGATAAATAATGGTAAAGTATTGGAAGCCTAGATACACCTCTTATATTTTTATTAAAATTGATTATGTAGTATGTAACAAGGCAATATTTTCAGACAGTTTTGACCAGCTGGTGTTCAGGATCAAAGCTATCACTGGTGACCATAGGGTATCAATAGAATTAGCCAGAAACAAGCCAGGTCTTCTTTCTTAATCTTGCATGGAAGTTAAATGTCATGGGGGAAAAAAAATATTACTTTGCAGTTCTAGGTTTTTTTCATTTATCTATTTCTAATTATAGTTGGGGGAGTCTAATAAATCTTTCTTAATGAGAAATGTTTTTAACAATGAAGTCTATAAAATATTTGAAAGTATGATTGATTGATTTGCACCAGTCTTACCGCAGCAAATTTCACATCTGGAAGATTTAAGCCTTGTTAATATGAAGTCTGGGTACAGTGCTCATTATGATGGCACTCTTTAAAAGATTCAAGTGTTTCTCTCTTGTTTTCTGAGAAGAAAGTGATTGTTAAGCATTACACTGGTCAGTGTATTCATTTTGTAATGACAACAGGGATACTCAGGCTGCAGCAAGCTCTGCTGCCTCATGGATGTCTTTCTACTTATAGTGGTGAATGCTCTGGTGTAATTTTGAAATGATAGCTGGAAAGGTAAATTCCATGTTATACATGTACCTGACTTTTTTTACTTTGATGCTACTACCCAATATTGCCATGTCCCACCCTAAACTATGTACCTAAGCACTGTATCTACACATTCCAAGGGATGGCAACTCAACCACTTTCTTGGGCAGCCTGTTCCAGTGCTTGATAATCCTTTCAGTGAGTAAATTTTTCCCAATATCCAAAAGTACTCTTTCCTGGTGCAACTTGAGGCCATTTCCTTTCACCTTGTTGCTTGTTTCTTAGGAGAAGAGACTGACCCCCACCTGGCTTCACCCTCCTTTTAGGTGGTTGTAGAGAATGATAAGGTCACCTTGACCCTCCTTTTCTTCAGGCTGAACAACCCCAGCTCCCTCAGCTGCTCCTCATAAAACTTGCCCAGCTTCAAAGCTCTTAATGGGCACTGCTTAACTGCTGCCTGAAGAAACTTCATTCTTGACCTGTACCTCAGAAACAGAGAAGAGATAATTTCTTGTATCCATATGTTATTTCTCACTTTGTCCAAGGTGGAATCTATCTTTCGTCTTATATTTTGTTCCTCAAAACATTATTTTTTTTGCTCTATTATTAGTTTACTTTAGTGATACTAACATTTTTAATTAATATAGGTTCCACTTTTTCTTCTCTGTTTTTCATTGCCTCCCTTCCCCCCCCCCCCCCTTACTTTTAAGGCTGGACTCTGAATTATTAAATTTAAGTGTCTAGAAGGATCTTTCCTTCACCCTGAGGATATGAGTTTACGGTCCTGTTGTATGTCTGGTTCCATTATTGGTAGCTGTAATATCTGTTAAAACATGCCTCATAAGAAGTCTGCATTATTAAACTTGTAATTCTCCCAAGAGATGACATGCAATCTGTCAACAGGAGAGCTGACAGAACTGGCACTGCATGTGGCTTTTTTTACTCTGTTGTTAATTTCAGAGCAGATCCTCAGCTCCTTTAGTTTAGTTAAATTTTAGGATCATTTAGAGTCAGTGTCATGCCTGAAATGTGTGAGTATATGAATATGATAGATGATGGCATCTGTGGGGCCAAAAGATGTTGGACCTCCAACAGGAGACCTGCAACTGAGAACAGACATCCTTGGTGGTGTTAAGAGGGAGATAGCTGTGGGGTAATTATGATTTTCCCTAATTTGATTTTAAAATTACTGACTCTCAGGGGCTGGCAGGAGCCTTCTTCTAGATCAGGTGCATAAGTTTTTTTTCCAACTTTTTTTTTGTTTTTTTTTGCCAGTCACCAACCTGCATTCTTCTTTACCACAGAGGTCAGCACTTTACTTGGTGGCCAGAGTATTTGAAGAGTAATCCTAGATGCATTTGAATTTCTGCTCTGCTTGTTGTCATTGCATCAAAAGTCTCATTGGCACTTACTCAATCCATTTGAAAGTTGCCTAACTGGAAAAGCTTTTTTCTCCTTTTCAAACTTTTTCTCCTTTTTCTCTTCTTTGAAAACTTGCACTTGACTGAAAATAAATATTTTTTTGGGACTTACATATCACAATGTGTAATTTTCTTCTGCATGTTTATTACTGGCTGGTGTGTACCTTTTGTAAAGTTTTCCTTTTTTTGTTTTTACAGGAGTGATAAGCATTTTCAGTAACATTGTTGTGTTAGGCATCTTTGTTAAGTACAAAGAGCTTCGGACAGCAACCAACGCAATTATTATCAACTTGGCTTTTACTGATATTGGTGTTAGTGGCATTGGTTACCCCATGTCTGCTGCCTCAGACCTGCATGGAAGCTGGAAATTTGGATATACGGGATGCCAGGTATTGCAATTCAGTTAGAAAGAAAGTTTTAGCACTTAAAAACAAGCTGAGAGATAAGTAATGGCTCTACGTTGTGTTATTTTAAGAGGTAAGGCAGAGATGCAGAATGTGACTCTGGACCTGAAGCTGATGTTCTGTGATGTCAGCAATTTCTGGAGACAGTGTTTTGTGTGAATTTCACTTTAAGCTTATATTTACAATCTGAAAACATTTAAGTGTTACCTTATATCTATCAACTAGACATTTAAAAATAGCTTTAAGAAGGCTTACAAAATCAAATCCTGAAATGAGGATGGTTATAGTAGCGCAAGCACATTTGATGATTTTGCTGAGAGCTAAAAAAAATTTTATAGTGGCTACTGTTTTGATGGTGAGTTCTTGACAGATCTTGGTGAGTTCTGCTTGGCAAATGCATGTCCTTTTTGGGTGGCACTGATATATTCAGAGTGAAAGCCTCTAAGGCTTTTGGTCTTCATTGAAGATTTAACCTTCTTTTAAGAGCTGCCTGTTTTTAAGAATAGACTGACTGAAAAACATACTTCCATAGCAGAGAGATGGCAGCCTTTGCTTACTTAGTGTTGTGATTTTAATTTACATAATTGATAGACTGTTGGGTTTAAGTGCCCACAAATATGAGTAGTAATGTGAAGGCATATACTGAAAATGTGTCATAAGGCAAACATTTTGGACATTTATAAAACAGATGCTTATCACATTGCTTGCCTCAGTAGACAGTACCTTCAAGCTCAAAATTCAGTCATTATTTGGCAGGAGGTCTCACTTTTAACATCTTTAGATGTTAACAACTGGATTGACTTGTGGTGTGTTCAGGTTGATGAGAGATCTCACTGATTTTAGAGTTGAAGCACTTGAAGCACAGCTCATGTCAACCTAAACCTAATGAATCCTGTGGTCTGAGATGGCTGAATGCCATGTGGTTCTATTATAACTGCTGGTGCCATGTGCTCTGGCTCAGGGCTCTATATTACTGGGGTGCCAGTGGTAACACAGCCCTCCCAGTCATTCTTCCTGGTCAGGCTTCCCATGGGATGACAGGGCAGATGTATTTGGAGCATGCTGGGATTGCAGCATGTGTTGTTCTGTGCAAAAGATCTGACACACTTAAACATGGAGCATGAGGGAGTAAATCAGTGGGCCACATCTGTGAAATCATCACAACAGATGAGTGATAATTCAGAACCTCACATTTGCTAAAAGTGTAACTCTTTCTGATGGACCAAATGCTCCTCAGGTTTCCTTAGCATACATTGAAAATATGAAATAAACTCTCCAAATTCTGAATCTCAAAATTTACTTATTGAAGGACAGTGTTTCTTTTATTTTAAGACTGCTGTCTTTAGGATTTCTAAGGTGCATACAAGCAGAGGCTCTTGAAATGTTTACTTTTTAATGACCCACCTTCAAATTGCCTGCATTGAATTAAGACCTTTAAGACACTGCTTTTGGAAGAGAGCTCTGGCTAAATTGTCTTGATTCAGTACACAGATTTGTGCTTGCATCTTTGAAATATTTCTCAGAAATTGTTTTCTTGCTTGTTTTAATTTCAGATCTATGCTGCCTTAAATATATTTTTTGGGATGGCGAGTATTGGTTTGCTGACTGTTGTTGCTGTTGATCGTTACCTGACCATCTGCAGGCCCGATATAGGTACTGACTTAGGGTCAAAACTCAGTCACTGTTGGGAGGAATAAAATTCTGATTTGATTGCATTGTTTTCTCATGAATGACTCCATAGTTACAGCACTGGGCAGAACTTGAAACTACAGTATGTGGTTAAGTAAGTTACCTAGTTGGCATACTGCTCATTAAAGTGAAAAATTCATCATTAGGCTGTTACTCTGTTTATAAGTTGTAGTTGTGGTTTTATGGCCTTTAGAGGGCCACATCCATACAGAAAAGCACACAAAAAGCCTCTGGCTGCATGAGGTTTTGAACTTTGTCAAGCAGGTGTGTGCCTCTGTTGTTAACACCATCCTGGGTGTTTTTCTCTCCCCTGTTACAGTTGTGTTGTAATAGTTAATTCCTCCCCGCCATCTTCCAAGGGTGTACTTGAATGCAGTGTTGCATAATAAAATTTTGGCTGGGATCACGTATTGCCTGTATGCTGACTTGGAATGGGTGATGGTGTTCAAGTGGCTTTAAAGGCTGCAAGGACTGAGATGTCAGGCAGCAGAACAAAACAGGCATCCTACAGTGCTTGGGACTGCGAGCCTGGGAAAGGGTTTTTATTAACTCATTATGTGCTTGCTGGAAGCCACTTGTCACTCTAGTTTGACACTGGAAAGGAGCAGCAGATGAGAGCTGTTTGTGACTGTCTGTGCTTGGCTGCAGGAAGAAGAATGACCACCCGTAGCTATGCCACTCTCATCCTTGCTGCCTGGATAAATGCAGTCTTCTGGTCTTCCATGCCCACTGCAGGCTGGGCCAGCTACGCTCCGGATCCCACTGGAGCAACGTGCACAGTAAATTGGAGGAAAAATGATGCGTAAGATTCCCCCTCACTCTTTCTTTTAACTTTTCTGGCTTGCTGGAGTCTAAGATTTTTAATTCCCCGCTGTAGGGAGCATAGTTTCTTTCTGAAGTATAAAGCAAAATTTAAGAAAATAAAAATAACGTAGAGCGAATCTAGCAAAAAAACCCATAGGAACTGACATATGCTTCACAACTTCAATACTTGTAGTTTCTAATATAAAAAAACTTAGCTAAAGAAAATTTTCCTTATTATTTTAGAGTTTGTTGCAAAATGTCATAATCAAATCAAAATACCAAATTCTTTAATAACTTTTCCTGGATGGCTATTTGTAAGTTGCTCTGTTTTGTTTTTCTGTCTTATCAGGTCCTTTATTTCCTACACAATGAGTGTAATTGCTGTTAATTTTGTTGTGCCCTTAACAGTCATGTTTTACTGTTATTACAATGTTTCCCGGACAATGAAACAATATGCCAGCAGTAACTGCCTGGAGAGCATTAACATAGATTGGTCTGACCAAGTAGATGTGACAAAGGTAAATGAGTGCATGTTTTGTTTTAAGCATGTTCTTTGTGTTAAAGTCCTATTTGCAGTCTTTAAGTATTTCGGTTTCCTACATTCCCCCTTTGCTTTTATAGTAAATATTAGCTGATACTGAGCCTTGGTGAAAACTCTTAGCTTGACTTATCATATTAGATTCTTTAGTCTGATACCCTTTCCAGATGACTAGCTGCTTTGAAGGCTGGGAATATTGTGAATTTGCCTTGCCTCTTTCCTCTGTCATTACCTAGAAATGTGCCTCCAAGGTGCCCTAGGAGAACTTTTACTGTGTCTGCAGAGTCCTTAGGTTTCCTGCTTGGTTCACAGATGTGTCTGGTCTGAAATGGATTGGTCAACTCTCACTTGAACTCGTGGCCTAGGAAAGAGAATGCATTTCCAGCTCCCAAAATGTGTAATTCCAATCCCTTCCTCTTTTCAGTCTGTTGAGCTTATCTCTTATGTAAGCAGTAGCAAATGTGAGTTATGGCATGAAATGATATATCCTGCCTGGAAGGTTGACATTCTTTTAATGTATAAAAGTCCTTGAGAAATCTTGAAGTTAACCAGCTCCTTTGATTTTGTGTAAAGATGTGATTTATGGTTGGGCATGATGAAAAAGTGAGAGAGAATTCGACAGAAGAGTATGTACCTATGTTTTTGAATTACTTATCAGTGCAAACAGCATTCCTTGGAAAACTTTCTCATTGCTAAGTTCTGAAAAATAGTATTTTTACCTAAAAAGAGTCATTTGAGTGTTGTACTTTTGTGAAGAACTTTCAGAATACTTGAAACTGAGGATTCAGTTAAAAATTTTGACTCATGTTTGTGAAGAAAATGCTTTTTTCCTATTTTGCAGTTGAAGACACTAAGTTATAATTAAAAAAGAGAAAAAGAATTAATGTTTTAGGTTAAGCAATATCCATCTTTAGAACTGGACTACCATCTGCTTTTTGCAAATTAGCATCCTCTAAGCTTTCTGTGTACCAAACTTCTATATGAAAGGGTCCTTTCTTACATTTTGGTATTGTGTTTGGTATTGTGTTTTCATTTAAATAGAGATTTTCTGTGAGAGTCACTGCTTGTGTATTGATTGTGCTCTAGAGCAGCTCATACAAAGTAGCTGTTTACTTCTTGTTTCTCATTTTGTTAATCTCTGAAAGACTAACTACGGGTGTTGGTGAGCAGCACTAGGGAATCCTGTGTGTATGCAGCCCTGTAGTTTTCATTGGTTTTCTAGTGGTTTGTTTGTTCCCTGGATTCATTTGAGATTTCCATTCCAGTTTCCACTACTGATTCATGTGCCTGACAAAATCCAGAAAAGTCTGTCTCAGTTGATGACCTCTCCTACCCTCTACTAGCCCTAGTTTGTCACTGTCCAGGTCTGGCTGTGGCATGGCATGTCCTGCGCCGTGAGCCCCAAGCTGCCCAGGTTGTTCTCTCTGCAGGCAGACATGACAGATCAGATACCTCCTTTGTATCATTCTTGAACATGTCTATAATGCTTCATTAAACCAAGTAGACACTTCTGGGTTCCTTAACTATATGTCCTAGAACATTTACATTATTTTATTTAATAGTGCTATAATTAAGCCTTATGAAACATTTTTATTAACAGCCAAATTAAATATTTGGCTTAAATTTTTGTCTCTGTTCATATTTACTGCTTGTAATAGCATCCCATAGTGACTTGTTATGGGGGTTGTAATAATGTGTGAAGTCCTCTCTACTTAATTTAAACTCCTGATGAACAGATTTAACCTAATGAGTAGTGCTGATTTTGAAGGAATATTGTATGTAATGAAATTACACCATGCCAAACACATGGCAGTGAGGTGTCCTTTTAAATCCCCAAAGCGAGATTTCAGTGTAAACACATTTTCAGAATGTGTCAGGTGTGCTTTTTATGTATTATTTCATTCAGGATAGCCCTGTTTACACCTGTTTACACCTTTATGTGCTTTTGTTATGAGGTTTTGCTGTGAGGTCTTCATCTTGAGGTAATACTGCTTATGTATCTGTTCCTCTCATTTTACAGATGTCTGTTGTGATGATTATAATGTTCTTGGTGGCGTGGTCTCCATATTCTATTGTGTGTTTGTGGTCTTCCTTTGGAGACCCAAAGAAAATTTCTCCTGCAATGGCCATCATAGCTCCTCTCTTCGCAAAATCTTCCACATTCTATAATCCCTGCATTTATGTCATTGCAAACAAAAAGTAAGTGTTCTGAAATTTGTACCAGTCTATTTCATGATTTTAGCATATCCTCTGAGTATAGAAGGATCACCTGTAATATATGGCAAGCTGATTAGTGAAGAGCAAAGGGTATGGCACTGTTAATTTACTGAAGATGGCCTTTTGGACAGGAAAGCCTAAATAAATTGTTATAATTATCATCAGAACATCCTGAATTGATACCTATTTTTGAGAACATATTAACATAGCTTTTAAAAGTCCCATTTGTGTTTTCTCAAGGGATTCAGTATGGAATATGGGTCGCATCAGTAGTAGTTTGCTTTTAATGACTGTGCCCAAAGTGTGTGTGTCTTAGTGACATGTAACTGGTGTAAATTTTCTTGTTTGATTTGGGATGTGTCATATTCTGATGGCTTAGGATGGATTGACCTTTTTCATTAGAGTAAATAGGTTAAGCCTATTCTGATTTGAGCAAGCATAACAAATGCTCTAATCAAGCCAGCGCCTCTGTCTGAGGGTTGTGTTTTGCAAAGAGTCATTCTTCCTATCCCTGCTCCAACCTTCAAGCGGAGCCTGTGATCTCTGCCTAGGTGAACATACCTGCTGAGTCAATGGAGAAACATCTGTGTTTTTTTCCCTTCTGTGAGTTCATCTTTGTTATGGCTGTACGCTCTCCTGGGATAAGCAAAAGCTGCTGTGATCCCTATGTAAGAAATGAAATTAGCTTTATACTCCTGTACCTGGAAATGAAAAATACCCAGGTCCTTTTGAATTCCAAAGACATGTTTTTTTATTAAGTACATTCTACTAAAATGGAAAACTATTGTAATAGTTAAGACCATCTTACCAAATTTTCCCCTTCTCTTTGGTTCTCCAACCAATGTTCTTTCTCTTTTCCCTTTGTTGCCCTTCACAGGTTTCGGAGGGCGATCCTGGCTATGGTGCGATGCCAGACAAGACAAGAGATAACCATAAACAACGCTTTGCCCATGAGTGTATCTCAAAGTGCATTGACATCGCAGAACTCCAGTCATTTGCCTGCATAAAGTTGCATGGAAAGGAGTGAAATCTGGGTTCAAATTAATTAATCTTTTGGACAATTTCTTTTTGAATAATAATATTTTCCGGATAGCTGTTTTGTGTTAGTCACAGTAATCTTTTTAGAGAAGTTAAGGAGACAAAACCTGCCAAGACTTTAGTTTTTGAGACTGAGGTTTATTGGTCCTATATGTCTGTCTCAAATAAAAAAGGGTAGCAAAGTGGCCACTGTGATTCTTACAGAGCTAGACTAGGTGACAGAGGGGCCAGCAAAGACAGAAGTGTGAAGTTCTTGTGTTCAGTAACCCCAGATTTTTTATATGTATTAATTCCTTTCATGAGGTACTTTCCACCAGATTCCCTTGAAAATTCCAGAATTCAAATACTCTGGGTACTTCCTAAGGCTGTATATGTCCATACCAAGTGTGCATGTTGATTTGCTTTGCAAAGTTCTGTTTATTGTGAATATGTTATGGTGTCAAAATATCTACCCCACTGACCCCATAGAATCTTCTATTAGGTTTTAGGATTTTGAAGGAATTTCAGCATATTTAAAGTATTTTTAAAAGTTTGACTGGCAGAACCAAATTAATTTGTAGTAAAGACAGCTTGTTTTTTTTTTTTTTTGGTTTTTTTTTTTTTTTTTTTTTTTTTTGTAAGTAGCATGTTTCTAGTGCTTGTGACTGCACAGCAAATCCTGAAAATGTGACAAAATGTACCCTAAAACTTTACACTTGGGAAGTGCATAAAACTGAGTAAATATTTATGGTAATTTCTCATCACTTCTACGTCAATCTTATGTTTATGTACATCTGATATTTAATTTTCAAGAAGTATCTTTGTCAGTGTGAGCAATGGATTTATTTGGGGTGAAAAAGATGACTGTATAGATTTATCTTCAACTATTACGTGTGTGTGCATGTGCAGTTTGGCTTTGCAGTGTAAAACTTAAACCATATATGTATTTTTGGCAAAACCCTGTTTTTATAGGATTTTTTAAAAGCTCTGGAATCTAGCCTTTCTATTAATTTGCCATTTGCAGTATTAAAGAAAATGCCATGCAATATCCTCATGATGTACTAGATTTCCTTCAGGAACCTTGGAACACTTTTTAGACAATGTAATATATGCCTCTTAAGAGAAGAAAAGAGGTATTTTATTGCACACTAACATTACAATCTACATATTAAAACAACCTTGGAACATGGTTGGATGTGATTTGAAGCAGAGTGTGTTCTGACAGACTAAAGAGTGAGCTGGTTTAACTGATGGCATTCAGGATACATTTGAAGGTTAAGCAACTACAGATCTGGGCTAATCTGTTGTAATCTGCTGTTACTAAATGGATGGCTACATTCACATTCGTAGCACACTGCTCATGAGTGCCTAGGAATAAAGCTTTCACATTTCTTCATGTCAGTTCTTCTGGGAGGAAGCCATGTATCTGTTTATTTACTTTTACCTCCTAATGAGTTTTTTTGAAGAAGTTCATGGCTTTTGTCCTTCACAATGCACTTGTGTTTACCACGGCAGAAGTGATGGCACTGGAACAAGGTATATATTTTATTATTTGTTATATAGGGCAATTTATATGGAAAAGGGTTTGAAGAAATTGGAGATAACATTCTCAGTCATTGCAAATTATTTCTAGCATAGTTGCAATGAAGGCATATTTTACATTAGAGTTCTATGGCTAACAGCATCCCTGAACAGGAGCAGATGGTGATTATGGCTTTGTACTTAGTAAATAGCTACTCTAAATCTTCATTTTATGCGGGAAGCCATTTCTTTCTGCTCCATGACGACTCTACTATTGCAATGTCCTTTCTAATTCTACAAACTAGTTAACTAGTGCAAGGTGAATGTGGTTTAAATAAATACAGTAGTTTATTTATTTATTTTTTTAATCTGCAATAATGTGATTTTTGATAGTAAAGAGGCTAATTTGAAATGTGGTGACCTGGTATTGTCGTGTCAATTTCAGGAGGTACTTTGTCATTCCTATTTTTATGTCACAGGCTATCTGGTATAAAGCTGCATGAGGAAAAAGAAAAATAGAGGAATACTCTAGATAAAAGGGGGAGAAAATTAAGGATAGACTTATTGAAGGCAGGGGAATCTTCAAGCTAGTATGTGCAAACAATATACCCCAAAGAAATTGTTTCCTGAAATCAAATAACTGAAAATGCTGAGAAATCCCATTTCAGTGAAATCATTGTGAGCAGAAAGTTCTTTTAATCTCTATAAAGCATGTAATTTGTACATACACATCAAAAAGAGGGCCAGAAAGCTCTTCTTTACTGGATTTTCTTTGGTATATTTTCAATTTCCAGTCTATTCTGAAAGGCAAGTACAGAAAATATTTTGAATCTTCATCATACAGAAAAATAAGAGATTAGTGATCTTAATTTTGAATTTTAATAATTTTAGTTAGGGAGCATGCATTTCCCACTTGAGATGCATGCATGTATTATTCCTTACGAAATGGCTTCTGTCTTTCAGTTGTCAGTAGAGGGAGGGGTGGATAGATGGTGGTCCTTATATACTTTAGAATAAAGCAAATCCAGGTTTCATGTGAAAGGATCAGTTCTGGTTTGCATACTTTTTGTTGTTAGAGACTCCATGTTTGTGGAGTTTGTTCAACTTTTAAATGCAGAGGACTGCTCTTGATTTCCGTGTTCTTTGTCCTGGTAGTGTTGCAGAAAGATACAGTATTTGCATTTAAATCTGAAAATCAAATTTCTGGTAAATAAATGCAAATATGTCTCTCTCCCTCTTTTTTTTTTTTTTTTTTTTTTTCCTTCCTGGTTGCTAGGTCTGTACTCTGTAACGACCCTGATATGTATGAGATCCCTGTGAATGTTCCTGTGGATACTGTAAAACTTCGTATAGAGAAAACTGTCATACGAAGGATTCCGACCGAAGCCTTTTACTACCTGGTAGATCTCAAATACCTGTGGGTCACTTACAACTGTGTAGCCAACATTGATATCAGCAGCTTCTATAACTTGAAACAGCTGCATGAGCTGAGGCTGGATGGTAATCTGCTTTCAACTTTCCCTTGGGAATCCCTGGCAGAGATGCCCAACTTACGGACTCTTGATCTCCACAACAACAAGTTGACCAGCATTCCCGCTGATGCTGGCCGCTATCTGAGGAACCTCACCTACCTGGACCTATCCAGCAACAAGCTGACCACCTTGCCATCAGACCTCATGGACATTTGGCCCCCCTTCTCAGGAGCTATTGTGTCCAAGACCACAGACATTCTGGTGACACAGAGAATAATCTTGGGTATGTGGAACAGCCTGTCTCATCCCTTACTAAAATATACCTGAACATTACATTGCAAGAGGGAACAGTTAGGATTCTGGAGAGGGGGTTTTACCCAGATCACTTTTGTGGTTTGCTCTATGGTCATTTATTTTCTACTGGTAACAGAAAACCATAAAATTAAGATAGTGACCTCCATGTGTGTTGTTAAGTCAAAGCTATAAAACTGAAGTAAAAGCTATGCGAATCCAGTTTGCAGGAATACAGGCCATTCAGTAGCTATATAAATACAAGTCTTACATAATTTTTCTGGTGGCATTTTCCTCATCTTTGTATGTGTTTGCAACTGTAAGCATGTCCATTTGCAACTGCTTTTTTCCAGAGGCTCCCAAGCCAAGGAAGGAGCTAGAGCTGATGCTCTTATAAAGCCTGTCCTGTGATACAATGCTGCAGATAGTGTTAGTGGCTCAGAATAGGGCAACTCTGGTCACCCTGGGACCTCTGTTGACCTTGCATTATTCTAAATCTGACTGATCATCTGGAATTTTTTTGCAATTTACCTACTGAATGTGAGAGAGGAGTCTGATCCCTTTATATTCAATTTTTATAGTGTTTAAGTAAGTAAGTATTTAAGAGTAATTTCATCAGACTCTGGTTTTTTTTTTATATATATATATTTTGATCCCCTTCTCTAGTATGCAATTGCATCAGTTCTGTTTGTGGCATTGTGCTTTATCTGACACGTTATCTCCACTTCCTAGTCTTGCCAGGGTAACTCCTTTCTCTTCTTCAGTCTCAAACTGGAACAGTTCTATCAATACTGTTCTTTTCTAGCACTGTTTACATAGAAGTGGATATTTTGATGCCTTTGTAGTGCAGCAGGTGGAAGGGAGGAAAACCAGCTGGCTGTATCTACTGCAGTAATTCTATAAGCACTGGTGAAGATCTGTCCTGCCCAATATTGTACTGCCCAATATTTCCAATTTCTTGATCTAAACTCTCAGTATTCAGTGTTTATTTGTTCAGCTGCTTTGTTTCACAGCAGAAGCTGCAGCTTGAAACTCTCATTCTCTTATACAAGAAACTTAACAGATACAAGTAGGCTGCATGACTTCATAAGTAAAGGTTTTTGGTTTATTCAAGATTAAAAAAAAAAATAGTAAAAACTGCAAAAGTAAGTCCATCTCAGTTCTCCTTTCCCTGTCCCCACAAAGACTACAGGAGGCTGTAAAGTGGGAGCTGATTGTGCTAGATCCCTTCATGATCTCATGTGGGAGTTCCAGATGTAAATTGGTTTCCTTGTCTTATATAGCCCTCACCACTTCAGACAAAACTAAAGGAACTAAGAAAAAAAAATAACCCCCAACACAAAAAAAACACCAAAAAAATCTTAAACCTTCATACACTCTTCTCTCTCCTTAACTCTGGGAATTGTTTGCAGGCTTCCTTGGTGCAGGCGTTTCCCAGCCTCCTGTAGCAAACCCTCTGGTGCCAGCATTGAGTTCTTTGAAGGCTTGGGATATGACCTTTGGACCATTTTCTATTATGAACTACAACTGGGTTTTAATACAGCTCTCCAGAGAGGAATGCACACTGGGTTAAAACAGAACCTTTCTTCTCTCTCTTTTTTAAAATTTTTTTTGGGTTTTTTTTTGTTTTGTTTTGTTTGTTTTTTTGTTTTTTTTTTTACTGTTAGGTGCTAAGGGAGGCTCTGTGCAACCATTATCGATGCACCTGAGAATACAGAATGCCAGGTGGTACTTTTACTGGTGTTATATTGAGAAAATTTACCTTGGATAAGCTGTGAATGAATTAGCTGAATTCTTTTTTTTTTAATTTAATGGACATCATAGTTTTATGATGAGTTTATCCCAATGCAGACAGATGGTGCATGCTATATGAAAAGCTTTATAGTGAATAAGAAAACATCCAATTTCTCTGGAGATTAGAAAGTGCAATGCTCTTTGTGTCTTGGGTTATTTTGACAAGTTTATTTAGACTCCACTGGGTATTAGTGCTTCCTTTCTGATGGCCTTCCTTTCTCCTGGGCTTGCTGGAGCCTGGGAAAGAAGTGATCCCATAGATATTCTCCTCCTCCTCTGAGCTACAGATAGGGATCACAGAGATCCATGGTCAGGAAGGACCTAACCTGCAGGGATACAGATCCAGAGGGGCTGAGCCATCCTGGTAAAGTCAGTGCTGTTCTTAAAGCTGTGACCAGACCACCCCAGAGCCTTCCATGGTCACCTCCTCCAGTGCTTATCTACCAGGGTAGTGAGAAAGTTTCTCCTAATATCTAACCTCAATCTCCCTTACTGCAAACTAAGCTGATTACGTCTTGTCCTACAGGGCATGGACATACAGAAAAACGAATCACCATCTCTCATAGTAAGCTTTCATAGGTTTTCCTTCCCTGTTTGCCATCCTATTTAATCGCACAATTTCTTTCACCAGATTCTAATATAATGTGAAGGTTTTTGTGGGGTTTTATTTTGTTTGTTTGATTGGTTCTTGTTTGATTTGGGGTTTTTTTTTTGTTTGGTTTGGTTTTGTTGGGTTTTTAATTTGTTTGGTTTGGCTTTTTTTTTGTGTGTGTGTAGTATTTTAATTTTCTTTTCATTTTCTGCAATAGTTACTCGTTCCTTTTAGACACCTTTAGGTTTAAAAAAGTGTTTCTCTTAAAATGTGATGCCCACAATTGCACGCTTTGATGCTCAAGAGTGTCCTCTGTGCTGCAGCCACTTTCTGTGAGAGCATTCAGCCTGACCTGTGTACCTACATGGAACTATCACTGCAGCCAGAACTCTGCTGGAGGTTGAAACCCAGAGTAAATAAATACTGGTTTAGTCTAGTCAGGAAAACAGTAGTCAGATTCTAATTAGTGCAACCAATTATGACTTGAGCTGTCTTCTCTCCTGGTTCTGGCAAAACAAGATTGTCATGTGTATGTAATTAACAAATCAAAACCAGCGAGGTCCTAAACTCATGTGTTTGTGCAAATGTATTTTTTACCACCAGGAGGCAATTTTATCTTTGTTGTCTTGACTGAGCATCAAGATGGTTGCTCGTATGAGAAGCTTCAGATTCCCCATGTTTACTTCAAGGACTCTTGGAAGAACCAAAGACTAATTTTGCCAGAGGACTGGCATGTTAACATCTCCTTATTCCAGTTAATAATCTCTGAAAAAGAGATTTGGGTTTTTTAACTACTTCCCACTGCAAGATGTTCCTCTGTGTGTGCACTATGCTAAATGAAAGAGGGTTAGGGAATGATTGTTGGCCAAGTAGCTCACTCTGGCTCTCATCCACACAGTTTAGGGCCAGCTCTCTTTAAAGCTGACAGTCTGTTCCACACTTTGTAAGATTTAGCCCTTTGTTCTCTGTGGCCTCTACAGGATGCTACAGTGACTCTCAAGTGTAATTCTGGGAATGGAGGTGTTTTTTCTTCAGTTTAACCTGCCTGAAGTTATGTGAGAATTGCATCGGAAATCATTCATCTGTGCTTTTGGAATATGAAATACCAGGGGTATGTTGTATGCCTGAAGGGCGGACAGACATGCAGAATAATTTGGAGGTATAAAACCTGCTGTACTTGTTGGGGCAAACAACAGGATAGAGAGCCATCCTTGGTGTAGTCTCATCCATAAGCCTTTCAGTGAGGGTCAACTGCCCTTGGACCCATGTCTGGCTTTGTCTTGGAAAGTGCCCTTTGGATCAGCTCAGAACAAAGCTCTGTAGTGAGCTGAAAATTAAACAGTGCAAATGACTGGGGGACCAGTGTGTGAATTCATCTGGCCCTCTTGGTTACCTCTCGAGCCATAGCCTGATACTTGGATCCAAATCACAACTAAATTTCAGCACTGGCTGCTCTACAGAGATTTACATTTCTGGCAGGAATGATGGCAGTAGCATTTTCCATATGGTGGACTCTAGTGAGTCACTGAGGGGAACAGAATGGTCCAGTATTTGATGGAGTGGCAGTTGTGAGAGATCTTGCCTCTGTTGCATGCAGAGGTGCCAAAAATTTGGAATACTGCAGGTTCATCAGGCTCCCACCTGTTATGCTGAGCCACTGGGTAGATACTGCTTTTCCTGAAACTACTCCCTTAGCAACTGCCATGTGGTGGAAATGTTGTGACAGTGCTGGATATGGAATTTACTGTTTAGAACTACGGATCAAAATGTGTAGGTTCAGTTGGAAAGAGCCTGGGGTAGGCTGGCCCAAGCTGTGGTGAATATTTCTATCAGCTCAAAACTTGAATATTTTACATCTTGCTATTTTGCAGCAACTAAAACCAGTGGGTTACACAAGCTATGGTCTGAGTCTGGTTACTGATTTACAAGGGAAATTTTGCTCATAGCTAAAGTCCATATTGACACAGCCTAGGGAGACCCTGCTTACTGAGGAGACTACAAAAATGTGCATGCACAGACACACATATAAGTTTGCCATTGTACTTGCAAGCATACATATAAATGTATGAGAGTAAATATAAAATATGCTAAATCTAGAATAAAGGGTTTTAGAGCAATTTATATTTAATAATTTATATTAAAATAGCACTGCATTGATATATAACAATGCATAAATATTTATCAATGTTTGGTTTACCTTGGCTAGTATTTCTTTCTCAGATCAACAAGCTGCCTTGATATTTCTACAAAAGAATCCAGGGTTTATAAAGACATTCTCTTTCCTCAGATACATGTGCCATCAGAGATTTATCATTATTTTCATTTTTGCTTCCTAAGAAATTATTTCTTTTATTAAAGCTCCCTAATATTTCCCCCCCATGCACACCTTTTAACCTTTCTTTATTCTTTCACGTTTTTGTTTTCACTTCTAACATCCTGTCAGCACAAACTGTTGAATGAAGTTCAAAATGCCCCTTGTAGTCTGTAAACTACGTTTACATTCGCATTTCTGCTCTCTTCAACACTAACTGAAGTATAATGAAATCCAGTGTTTTATCTTGCTTCCAACTCAATAGTGCTTTCATCTTTTGATTTTGAGAATTCACATAACTTGGTGATTTACAATGGCTGGAAATAATGTGAATGCTGTCAGATATTGGCAAGATACAGATAAACTGAGGGGCTGTGCTGTGGGGGCAAGGAAGGAACTCACGTAGCTGTATCTATTATATATATCTATTATATATATTTGTATAAATCCTGCTTCTTTGGGCAGTTTCATCAGGAAACATGGTGGATGGGGAAGATGAAGTGGCTGACTGACATAACTCTTCCTTTGCCCTGCACTGAGGTGGTCAAACCTGTGACCCAGGCTGGGCTAAACAACCATCCAATCTAAGGACTGTTTATTGTTGCTTCATCTTTCCTTTTATTTTTTCAGTTTCTGATACCTATTATAATGACTTTGGCTTTTCTTCAGGACACTGGGAGAATATCAAAACTGTCTAGGTGTATATATAGATATATATATATATATATGTATTAGGAAAAGTTCCTCCACTGAAAGGGGGCTCAGAGAAGTTGTGGAGTTACCATTCCTCGAGGTATTTAAAAGACGTGTAGCACTCCGGGTCAATGTTTAGTGCTGGACTTGGCAGTGCTGGGTTAACAGTTGGACTTGATTTTCTTAAGGGACTTTTCTGAAGTAACCATACTTTGGTTCTATTTCAAAGGCTTTTGAGTGTTTTAAGTAGGGTAAAAACAATAATAAACCCCTTCATTTCCTGCAATAAATCTCTTAATACAGTGATGAAAATTGCAAGAAAGTGAGAAGAAAAAGAAAATTGCCAGAGTATTGTCTCTGACTACAGAGCTAATTAAAAAGATGAGCACTAATAGTTACATACGTGTGCTTTATAGAGCAGAATTTTTTATAAGCACAAGTGGTTGATCTACCTAGATATAGAAAACACTTGGATAGTATCTTTTCTCCTTAGGAATACGTGTATGAAGTTCACAGGCAAAATTTTTGTGTTTTGGAATTTTTTTTGAGGAAAAGCAGTTGCTGATACACTTTCCTTTGACTTCTGCTTCTTTGTTCCCACAAACAATAAGTAGTGAATAGATGTAAAATCTCTTCTGTCTAGAAGGGGTGAAATTGGATTGTGATGTCAAAGTCATAGAATCTCTTCAGGTCAAGTGTTGTTTTAGAGAGCAGGGATTAATTGGGGTTTACCATAGTTTTAACCAATCACTACCATTGTGCTTAAAATAACCTAATCTTGGTCTGGTGATAAAAGGAAGAAGTTGTTAATTATTCATGTATTCTTTCATCTGCAGGTTCTTCCAGAACAACTCATTTTTTCGAAAGCTGTTTTGATTATTCTTAACAATACACTCTGAAAAAATATTTGCGGGTATTCAGGTCTCTTTTTTTCTGTCAATACTGGTTTGACTTATATGGCTTGTTTATTGTACTGATCAGTAAATTCAGTAGCAATGGGTCCTTGCATAACCCTTGTTTCAGACCATAAGTTTTGTTTACTAGTAGTACTTGGAGAAAATGAGAAAGGCATATTCAAAATTATGAGTCAAATAAGAAAGTACTTAAGCTCCTTAGTGAAGCCGCTGTTGCTCTATGAAAGTCAACATAGTGGGGTAATTAATACCAGCTGAAGATTTAGACTGATATTCCTCAGAAGTGGCTATCCCTTTCAACATCATAAATTCACAAAGAGGGAAAAGCTTCTAATTCGTAGACTGGAAGCAAGAAGCAAATGTTATTGGCTCTGACAGAAGAGAGGTAGGGTTCTTGTGTGCCAGCATAAAAAATCTTGTAGTCATTATAGTGTTTTGTGGTCCTTCCTATTTTCTACTCTTCTGTTATTCTTCTTGAATATATTTCAGAGGCTGTAGTGAAGCCAGCTTCTAACAATACCAGTGTAGTCCAGAGCCAAATAATTTTTTTTGGCTTAAAGCTTTTTCTCCTTAGCTTTTATCCATTTTTCTCAAGGGGCAGAGATGTCAGTGCAAGCTCTAAACCCTTAAATCATTGTGCTCTCCTCAAGCATTGAAAAAAGGGTCAGGGAAGGTCAAGCTGTAAGAGCCCAGAGAAGGACTAAGAGCAGAAGAGAGTGTCGTGAAGCAAAGAGAAGCTGTCTTTCCAGGAGGCACAGACAGATGAAAATGTATCATCGGTCATGGGACATCTTTTCAAAGTGGTTTTAAATGTGGTAGGTAAATAGCAAAGTTAAGCACAAGTAATGCCAACACATCACTATGCTCCCATAAATTTCTGTGAAGAAGTTTAGTTTAATAAGCATTCATAGTGCTCTCCGTAACCTCTGAAAATATTCCCCCACTGATCAGCTGAACAAAAAACACAAACTGAAAGAGAAAAGATTAACTCAGAATAGGTCCAGGATTGTCCTTGATTGTATTTGGTGGTAGTCGTGTGTCATACTGTAATCACAATATCCATGTATTGACTGACAACAATTTTTTTTTCTTTCCCTGTTTCCCTCCTTGCCTCAGGTTTTCAGGACAACCCATGGTTTTGTGACTGTCGCATCTCAAAGCTGATTGAATTTTCCAAAATTGTGGACACCTCTGTTGTACTTCTTGATCCATTGGTTTCATGCAGTGGACCTGAGAGCCTGGCAGGAATCTTGTTCCAGAGAGCTGAGTTAGAGCAGTGTCTTAAACCATCTGTGATGACCTCAGCAACAAAAATCACCTCCCCTCTGGGCAGCAATGTCCTGCTACGCTGTGACGCCACGGGGTACCCAACACCACAGCTCACTTGGAATAGGTCAGACAATATTCCAGTGAACTATACAGGTATAACTGCTCTTTTATAGGAAATGGGGGAACCAACAGTTGTTGGGTTGCTTGTGCTTTGAGATCATTGTGATGAATAACGGTGGACCATGTGTTGTGTCAAGCTGGCAATCGTATCTGTGCAGCAGCTGTTACGAAATTCTCTGTCTAGTTCTCGGTCTTAACAGGTCCAGCAGACTGTTTTGGTTGTGGATGTGGTCTGTTATAAGAACAATGTGTGAATGGGTGAACTGGGGGAAGGATAAATGGAAGTGGAGTTTGGGTTAGTTGAACCCTAGCTCAGTAGCTAGAAAGTAGAAAGAATTTTTTGCTGGAATCTGTTCAAAAATGTTCATGTTAAAAAACCAGTGAGGCCATAACTGAACAACTTAAAACTCAGCATTGTAAGCACAAAATTTTCCAAATTAATGTTTTCTGTGTGCAAATGATGCAAGGCATCATTGTCTGACATCATTCTAGCTGCTACGACAGATACTTATGTAGTAACTTAAATGTAAAAAATGCTACTTGCTAATGCCAAGTAGTTGGCAGTTATCATAGGTCTGATGAAGGGAAGAGAACTGCAATATCTTAGGACAAAGGCAATTTCCAATAGCATTTTAAATAGATAGCGTGGTAAGTGTCACAGGAAGTCAGTGGGTCTTGTATTTAGGAGTCAATAGAAGCTTTAAGATATTTGATTTCACTTTATGTGGTTTTGTTTTTCTCAGTGAAACTGCAAACTATATTCTAATTACTCTAGACATTTATTTCTATTTTGACCTAAGCTGAGCACATTTATTTAGTCATAGAGTATAGCTGGGAATTCCATAGTTTGTTTTGGAAATTTGGTTTGGTTTTGGTGGCTTTGTTGTTGTTGTTGTTGTGGTTTTTTGACTGCTTGTGTTTAATTTTTAAAATTTTCATACCTATAATTTCTTCTGGCAGAAAGGTAAGAAGTATTCTAATAATATTTACTTCCTCTTTGTATTTTCCCATAGTAATTCAAGAAACTCCTGGAGAGGGTGTCAGGTGGTCCATAATGAGCCTGACAGGAATTTCTTACAAGGATGCGGGAGAATACAGATGTAAAGCCAAGAACTTGGCAGGAATGTCAGAAGCTGCTGTCACTGTCACAGTGGTTGGTGTAGTTACTACCACTGTGTCACCACAGAAGTTTGGGAGGAAGCCAGAGGCTGAGAGGCAGAATACAACTCAGGAGGAATCCAAGCAGGAAGCTGAGAGGACAACCACACCTCTTCCAATCAAACTGACCAGCACAGCTCTGGTTAGCACTGAAAGATCAACGAGCATGACTTTGACTGACAAAAAGCAATCTAGGCTCATGTTAGATGGAAAGAAAGTTTCAAAGGCAGTGACAAATGGAAACAAAAAGCAGATTGGAGATTTAAGCAAGAAACGTGAGGATACTCCATTGAATACAGCAGGTATGGTTGAGCAAAATGTTACTGTGAAGAACCTAAGAGTGATCAGTGAATCTGATGATAGAGTGACCTTAACTTGGAAAATGGTCAATGCCACAGGCAATTCTGCTGTGACCGTGCTGTACTCCAAGTATGGTGAGAAAGATATGTTGCCTCTCAGCACTGATTCCAACAAAAACAAAGTCACAATCGATGGTCTGCAACCTAGTACTCAATATATGGCATGTGTCTCACCCAAAGGCGTGCCACCTACAAAAGAGCAGTGTGTTGTTTTCTCAACTGATGGGTTAAATGATGAAAGCAGCTCTGAGTTTTCTATTCTGATAGTGGCCAGCAGTGCAGCATGTGTGGTTGTTTTACCTTTGATATTTTTCCTACTCTACAAAGTTTTAAAACTTCATTTGAAACCGAAATCTGCAAAAGAAGCTGAACTTGCAAAAGAGACTTATGTGCAATTTGAAACACTGTCGCTGAAGCCTCGAGCACGGAGTGCAGCAGACCAACTCTGGGCACGAAGGTACACAGATGAGTCAGAAAGACTTCTTCTTTGTTCAAGGTCAAGCATGGATTCTCAAATGACCTTCAAAAGTGAGGGCTCCAGGTCTGAGTATCTGTGCTGAACATGAGTGAGGGTGGAGATGAAATAAATAATAGGCAAAATTAATTCAAAATGGTGATGCTGCATCTGGAAGCAGGTTGACACTAGATGGTGGTCTGAACACGTTATCTGGTGTAATAGAGTCTTACTGGATGGTGCTGGGTAGGAGGGAGAACAGAAGAAAAATGTTGCCTGTTTATTTTCTTATTTTTTATGTTTGTAATTTTGGATGTGAAGGAATGATGTTTTTCCAAAGAAAAATACATAATGAAATGGCTGTATGGATAAAGATATTTTTTGGTTTTATTAAAATATTCTGTTTTCTCTTCTCTCATTTTTCCACATGATGTGCTAGTGGCATGTATCAAACATGAATCACAATCTTCTTGAAAGCCCTGTACTTCAACATAATAGGAAAACAGTTTTAGCTACTTCTGTTGTGATCAAAACTTATTTGAATATTCAAGTTTTCTTCCTACATCAGCTTGTGCTTTGAGGTGTCATACAGCTGTTCGTACAGTATCTTGGGTTGAAGTATTCTCAAGGCCAGTCAAGACAAAAGTCAAAGTTTATGGGCTCTTGGAAGGTACAATATACATCATATTATAATTTTGTAGATGTTATTGCAAAGGGCAAAGAAGCTTCTTTAGTGTCCTGAAGCTCAGGTGAACTGACTAACTCTGAGAGACACTAGATAATTATATTAACTTACATCAGATGATCTTATTGCAAAATCTCAGCCTTAGAATTTACTTGGATGTGTCTGTCTATATACCTCAATTTCAGAAATCACTGTACAGAAAATTCTGGTACTGTGTAATACAACAATATATTTGTAATATATTTAAGTATATTACACAGATGTTGCACAATATTATGTACTACACTGCAGTAATAGAATACCTTTTGATGTACAGTAAGAGGAGTTTTTGTCCTGAGGGCATGTTGGATGCAAAGTTTAATGAGCATAGTGAAAGTTAATTGTGTGTGTGTTTCCCTGTATTTAAAAATCAGAAATTAATAGTAGCAATGAATTCAGAATTGCCTGTTAATGGTAATAATGAATAATTTATTTTGAGGCTGCTTTTTTTAATGCCTGAAGTAAATAAGAGAACTTCTATTGTTCTAGGTTCAGATATTATGCTTAGAAGTATGTATGAATTGTGAGCCACAGTTTTTCCTGAAAATTACAGCTGTGTTGTTTTCTTGGACTTTTCTATGCCTAGAGGAACTGTCTGTTTTGCTAGGAAATTGGGAATTGGCATTTTCCAGAGGGAGAAATATTACTTAAAGCTGCAAACCAAAGCTTGGTTTGTCAGCTTCAAAACAGTAGCATTTCTCATTGTCACTAATGTAGGATGAAATTTTGCCTACATCAGCTGGAATGCTGATGAGCTGATTTAGTAAGGCATAGCTTGGTGAGGGGTGTCAAAAAGCCTCTGACACAAAATCATTTCAGGAAATGAACACACTGAAAAATCTCTGTAGCACCTACACCATGGTGTCCAGTGGCCAGGATTAGTAGAATGAATATTTGAGATTATGGGAGCTTTAATAAAGAAGTGGGTGGGATGTTCAAAAGTGCAAAATTAGGTTGCCTGCTTAGAATTATCCTTGGTGTTCCTTTCTGTGTTGCAAGTATGTGTGGCTAAAAATCAGTCTTTCTTCTTTTTCCATGAATAACTTTGATTGCAATGAAAATGGTTTTAGCTTTCTAAGCTATTTTACTTCGGCAGGTTTTTTTTTGAAATTTAGGATTTTTTTTAGGGAAAAGAGACTCTCTGTGTGTCAAAACCAAGGTTCAGCTGACATTAATGACAAATCAAGTTTGAGCAGGACCTGAAGTGTTACAATATTTGCCTTCTATTTTCCTGACAGTGTAGTTGGTAGTTGTTGAAGGTGTTTCCAACTAAAAACACCATGTTTTTTGTTAATGAGAACAATTGCTTTAACTTTTTTTTTTTTTTTTTTTTTTTTTTTTTTGTGGAGAGTATTTGATTTCAGGTTTCAAAGCTCTAATCTAAGCTCTAAATCTAATTCTGGAGTTCAAAAGTAGTATCACCTGACTTATAGGTGATACATCAATATATTGAATTGAGGTGGTGCACAGCTTGTTGGAGAGAACTCACTTGTGAACATTAAACCTTTGAGTTTAATTCCTTGTGGAATTAGCATGTCCTAAAATTAGAAATTAATCTCTGGCCACATGGGCTATCAGTGTATCAAAGATGAAATTTACTATCAAGAGCATGTTCTTTCAAGAAAACATGTTATACATTCTTTTTTGCATGATTCCTGAGACAAAAGACTTACATAATCCAGACATGCTTCTGTAACTCACGTCAAAACACCAAATGTGCTGGGGAATTTTGGCAGAAATTTGACACAAAGGGCAAATCACACAATAAAGATGTTTTTATCACCCAGAATTGGTTTAATTAAAGTGCTGAAGAAATACTTTGCTAGCAGATGTAATTTTTTATATTGTCAATTGTTAATGATGGAACCGCTGTAAAATAGATTTTGTCACCCATAATCATTTGCATAATGTCTTCTGAAATGCAATACTGGATCAAGCATTGGTATGAACAGTGAGGATTATAATCTGCATAGGAAAATTTGGAGAGATTTTAGCCTGTGTTTATGTATCACCTTTCATATATTTTACACTTTGTTTTCTGAATTCATCTTGCTTTTCCCAAAAAGATTAGGCATGTTTTTATACATTACCTACAATAGATGTGTCAAAACTGGATGGCTAATGAAATAACTGAGTAATGTGAGCCGAATTCTAAGTAAACCTCATTTTTATTTAGAGTTTTAGTGAGCATAGTTCTTATCATAATACTTTTTCATACTTATCATACTAAACCATAATCTTGGCTTCACTGTGCACTTACTAAGCCAAACTTAAGGCATCTGTGCATCTATTTTAGTCCTTACCATTACTTACTGTGGGCTTTATATTCCTTGCACCATCATCAGGTTTTCATACTTTGCTCAGGGCAGGAATTAAGAGAGAAAACTCTTTCATGTGTAACACGAGAATGTTTGTAATAGCAAACCCATTCACACTTTGGCTATGTCTAGGGGTCTAAACAAAGGACATTTCAAACGCAATACCTTTTCAAAGAAGTAAGTTAAACAGAAGTTGTTTTCATGTGAAAATAAAAAATTGTTTTTATACAAGGGAGTGTGTTTGCCTGACCCTTTCATCTTTTGTTTATAGCTTTAGAAAACATGTGATGAGTGTATCTGTGGGGACAGAAGGAAGTCTGAAAGGAAATGAGACAAAGAAGGCTGAGAAACCACAGAAGGGTGATATCCTAGAGAATTCTGTGACTGTGTGCCACAATGTTGTTTACTTGCAATTCTGCCATTTATGTGGCAAGGGTGCTGGGGCATCTGCAGACAAGTAGCTGTAAAATGATGCATGAAGATACTGCTAGATTATTGCAATTATTGGAGCTCCACATGTGCCCAGTTTTGACAAGGTGGGGTCAGCTATAAAACTGGAGTGGGGAACAGTGGCACTGGGAGAATTTGAAGAACGCACTTGAAGCTGGTCTTGTAGTCTGCCTGTGCCCCAGTGAAAGTTGTGAGAGGTTTTTGGAGACCACTGCCTTTTGACTGAAAAGGGATGAGCAGGTAGCTTATGAGTCTATTGCAAAAAAAGAGGGGCATACTACAATCATCCATCTTGATCTATGATTTTTTTTTTAAAACAACCAGTTTGTTAGATTTGTGGCTGGGAGGTAAACACAAACTTGAATCTTCTTCATGGCCAGAGATGAAATTTCAAAATTAACCTTTTTAAAATTATCTAGCTGTGTATAGATTGGAAACCTGCTGACCTGGATGTCTTCTCTCACGGAATTCATTGCATTTTTCTACATATTATAGGAAGGCGCAGAAGCTCCAGGTCAGCATTTCAACATTCCTTTGTAAAAAATGAGAAGTTTTCCATAGAACAGTTGCTTTCTTTTTTATTTCACAAATCACTGAATTTTTTTTTCTCTGAATTTCAAGAGATCAGAGTTCCCTTCAGAATGGAGGCACAAACAATGTGTCATTTTGATATATCTGAAAGACTCCCTTGCTAAACAGAAAAAAAATCAAGCTGAAACAGCTGGTATGAAGGAGATATTTTTTTTTTAACAAAGCTATATTTTCATAAGTGTTCAAGATGGGAACCATTTCAAGCAAAAAGACAGAAAGCAGCCATGAACAAAAAGACATAATATTCTCAAATGTAGAAGTAACTGCACTTTTCTCCATTTTCTATTTTTTATGAAATAACATCCTAACTGAGTGTTTAAAAAAAAAAAGAATGTAGAATTGCTGCAGTAAGATCAATAGCACCTGCCAGGTATATATTTTAAGTATATTTGTTTTAACTTCAGGTCTGGTATTTCTGAAAGACCCTTGATTGGCTTAAGAGTGTTTTGAAAGGAGTTGACTGTGCAAACAACTACAACTAACCTCTCATAATAATGGAAAACCAGTTTACTGACAGTGTATGAATGTCTACATTTTGCAGAAGAGAGCCTCTGACAAGAAAATACTTTATTCTAAAGCATGATGAGCTATCAAAGATTTTACTGAAATATCTCCTTTTTTAAGGGGGAAGCAAAGGAATTTGGTAGTGGTGTGGTTTCTTGGTTTTCGGGGTGTTTTTGTGGGTTTTTTTGTTGTTGTTATGATTTTTGAAAAGTTCGAGCATTTTCTTCTAAGGCCTCTGGTATAGGCTGCTGGCTCTTGAAAATGTTACTGGACTAGATGGAAAGTAAGAACATTCAAAATGACAATTACTAGTATATTTGGTGCAACTCTAGTAACTCTAGTTTAAAGTCAATGTGTTGCTTGTTTGGTCAAGTAAATGAATATTTTGTTGGTTTTATCTTTTTTTAGTATTTTTATTCCTTTAGACGTACAGTTGAAGAAAACTCAAACAAATTTCTCTAATACTTCAAAAAGTAAATTCATGAACGAATTTCTAGATCAGGTTCTTGTATCAGGTTCTTGCTGTCTCTCATTTATTCTTTCTAGTTTAGTATTGTTGTGGAAAAGAGGAACAAAACACTATGTATAGTCTACTTTGTATTATTTTCCAGTCTCTAAAGCAGTCACACCTTTGTTGAAGAAAAAGGAAATTAAATCCAATACTCATAAGTACTGTTTTTTGTAAGAACCTGTTGTAATTAATGCTGATGAAATATAATGCCATGGACTGATCGGATGGACTACTGAGTTGTGTGTCTTGATTTTTTTCCTGCTAATATTTGGCCAAATAATTGAGACTCCAAAAATAACTTGGACCAAATATATTTTTTGTTTTATAGTCCAGTCCCTTGTGTTTAAGATCATGTGGAAGTTAAATCACATAGAGAGAAAGAAGGCAATATGAGCATACAGTAGACAGCTGCACAGCATGGCAAACTAAATTCAGAATAACATTACTCTCTTTTAATATTATTTTTCTCTTTGCATAGAGCCTTCTTCAATGTTAAACTAATCCTGCAGTATATTGCTTGCTTCAGATTGCACATGAATGACATTATCTGTGTGTATTTTTCCAGAGCATGCTCTCAGGTCTTCAGTGACCTGTTCTGATTTCTCACTGATTCTCCAAAGAAGAATACTGCTTTGTGTTTCTTGTTCTGTGGCATAGAAGTGACATGGTGGAGTAATTTCGTCCTGCTGAATCATGAATGTGAAAACAGGAATCATAACACCCCTGAGCATCATGTTTCATAGCTGAGGATTAGAGAAGGTAATATTATTCTAAATTTCATTTGCCATTCTCTGTAATTGTCTGCTTACTGTACTCTTGCCCTCTTTCTCTTCCTCCCACTGTGATTTAACTTCCACGTGAACTTAGGCACATCACCTTGCAATTGTACTGTTTGCTGTTGTGTCTGGATCAATATCTCCAAAGCACTTGGTTCCTGGAGTTCTGTGTCAATCATTCTGGGTTCAGCCTAAAATCTGAGCATAGCATTTTTCTGTAGAAGATTGTGCTAAATTACTTCTCAGCATGAGGAGAGGAACTCTGTAGAATGGTGGAGGCATATTTTCATACACAAAAGTACTGTCTATTTGTTCCTTGCTTGAGTGTTTTTTACTCTTTGACAGAGGAGCAGACATTCCCTTTGGATAGAGTAATCAGCAGCAAAAACAAGGAAAGAAACATTTTTCACAAGCCAGAAAAATAATGGTCTTTGTTCTGGTCAGGAAAAATAATTGAATAGACATTATATCCAGTAGCTGTATGAACTATTTCTTTCAAACTGTAACAGGAATTCATGAGGAGAGGTAAGTAATAAAGCCCCTTGTTTATTGATAGAAAAGTGACATTTTCTTGTGCCTTTGTCTGAATGTGGACTGGCAGAGACAAGAGTTTGGCTGGTCACAAGGTGATTAAGTTTTTGGTTTCTCACTACTGAAGATTCAGAGATTTAGAAATGAAATCTGAATCAAATTATATGAGAGAAAAAAAGGGGATTCTTAAAGCTCATTGACCTACATAAAGAAACTAGAAGAATGGTTATGAAAATTCTTTTAAGGGGTGATCAGCCAAAAGTTGTGCTAAAAAAAGGAATAATGTTAAATAATTGCTCTTTTTAAAACAAAGGACCGTACAAGCCCAGAATCAGTGGACGAACATTTAGAAAAGTGCTCAGTATAAGCAGAACACATAAATTGTAGTTTTGTGGCTGGAACAGGAAACAAGAATTATTATTGTAACTATCTATGTGCAAGTCTGCCTTCAAGTTGAGTACTAAATTGGCACCTGATCAAACACAGATTATAAAATAACAAAAAGACCATGGTGGAGGGGAGTGCATGAGAAGCAAAGGAAGGTCCTACAGAAAACACACAAGTAAGATGGAGTAAAGAATAAAAACACTCTGCTGAACAATATGCAGTTCCCTGAGTGAACTGCAATCGTCCTCCAATCGTTTGGCTTATAAAGACATGAGCAAGAACTGAGAGGAGAACAAATAGTAACAATTCACCAGTTCCAGTCATGAATCCAGTGAAGATCTTCAGTAGAGTTTAGAGAAATCTGACCTGGGGGATAAAAGACTCTATTGTTGTATGTGATTTTTTCACTATATTTGATGTCAATTTAGAAGCTGAGGTAACTGCTTTGCAACAAAATTTGTGATGAGAAAAACTTAGGCTGAAGGACAGAAGAGTCTGCATAGGAAAGGAGCTGAGAGATTGACACCTTTGTTGTCAGTGGAATCTAACTGAACTGTAAAAATTAGGTGGGCCACATGTTAAGTGGGGAAAGCTAGACCAGTATTTGATCACAGCTGCCAGCTAGAAAGACAGTTGAAGCACTAGCACTTGGACAGTGCTGCCTGAGTGATTGTCAGTCTCACTGTATAGAATACTGAAACTGAAGAGAGAAATAAGTTATGTAGGTGGTGTACTTTTATTGGATCTGTTACGCTCAAAACATACCTTGCATATCTTTCTGATCCTTCCCAGTTATAATTCTGGGCAGAATGAAATGACAAAACTTTAACTATGGGAAGCCCATTACAGTACAAATAACTTGCAATTCATGGAAAGGGCAGGAGGACAGGCCTGGAGGAAGTTGAAATCAAATGTCACCACCTAAAAATATAGCTGAAAAGATGAGGTTTCTTCCTCTGATGAATGTTTGGATTAAATTCCACAAAAGGCCATGTTCTTTGTGAACTGCATGATGCCAGCTTTGTGTGGGCTGGGGAGAAAACATAGGAATAGGTTCTGAAAAGATGCTCTAAATGATTTATTGACAGCATCCTGGGAACTGACATTTGACAATGTTTCTGAGCCCACAGCCATTTCAGCAAATGCCAGTAGTGAGAGATTTAGGGGGGCGGTGCTCCAGTTACAGTGAGATGAATACTGTCCCACGTTGTTTCAGGCAGTGCTCAGACACCAGGAATAAGTAGGCATAAATAGCAGGAGTGTCTGGTGAGAGGCTGGGATGTGTGAGAAGTTCAGAATATGCTTCCGCATCTTGATAACTTCAGCAATGGATCAGGTAGAGGGAAAAGCCTCTTGCAGTATTAATAAAAAAGTAACAGATAAAATATTCCTTATTAATATGTTTTGAACCTATCCCAAAAAATGATATACCAAAGAAGTCTCTGAGGCTGACTGACTGTTTATTGAGGAGACTAACGATGATTGGGATTTTGAGCAGGGTAAAGGAGCCCATGGAGGTGCAACTGAATTGTCTCCTTTTGTCACTGTATGAACCTGGTGTGGATAAATAATCACTGCTGGCCACAGACAAATGAAAATTCTCCATGATATTTTGAATTGGCCTTACTAGCCATCAGCAATCTCTGTTCTGCCAGCACATTTCTGCAAGAGGGCTTTTTTTGTTTATGTGCAGGTGTTTCGTAGCAGTTCCACCATCCTCAAAGTTCAGCAGTTTGTGAGAAACAGTGCTTCCAGCTGCCATTAAGTTGCCACTCACAGAATTTAGCATATCCACTGTGTAAGTAATGATGCTGCAGAAAGGAAAAGTGACTGCCTCTCACAACATAACACACCCAGTCCTGATTTAGTGTAGGCTGAATTCACTTTCTAGGTGTGGAAATGCTGCTTCTCAGTAACTCTGCAATCCATCTGGGCACAGAAAACTGCTTTGAGTCCAGCACGCTAATCTCCAGAGTATTATTTCATGCTCTAACAACATTGCCTGAGCGCTGACTGCCAAGAACTTTGCTGCATCAGGAAGACTTTACCTATTCAGCTACTGAATAGGTACTATGTTATTTCTATGAAGAATCCAGTTGGTTAGTGAGGAGAAATCCTGGCAATTTTGGAGGAAAGTTTTCATGGTAAGTCTGTCTATGTTAAACACATGAAGCTAAGATATGGCAGTATCTTCCTCTCTGTACATTAGTCTGTACAGCACATTTAATCTGATGAGTCCTGGTAAAACCAGAGGGATGTGAAATATGAATGTTGTCATTTATTCTTTTGGGTGCAGCAGTAGCAAGAGTTCTCAATAGCCAAGTATCAGTACAGGCAAACCACTGAGCACTAAATGCTTGTAAGACTTCCCTCTCTTGAAGAGTTCTGCACTTAATAAATTGTTCTTCATCTTATTTATTACAAAAGCATTAGTAATGGCTGCATGCTTGATTCACAGAACACTATGCCTTGAATAATCTTTAATAACTGATAATTTCTGAAGGTATTATTTCTTTATTGATATAAGTGAAGAGATGCCTGGTTTTGGCAGTAGAGGCAAAGGAATATTGATTCCAATTGCTAGCTAGTGTTTGTTGGTGGAATCTCCTATAGAGTTTGGATTGGGAAAAGAAGGATCCATGTTGTATTCTCATGCAGTGGTACCTTGTTATTTGGGACAGGTGTAAGAGTGGTATGAAAACCATCTCCTAAGGCCTAAATCAGATTGTCCTCTTTTTGCTGTTATACTTGCTAATATATTCCAATTTTTCTCTTGTTTTTCAGTGTCAGGCCTAATTTAAACGATTCATGTTTAATAAAAAAAAATAAATTAGGTGGGTCCTGGAGAGCACATGATAGGGATATTCTCTTACGAAAGGACCTAATAGTTTTTGATTTCTGAGGGATAAAATAGAAATGTACTTCTTTAAGCTGTGTTAATGGTTAAGGCAAGAACCTGTCATTTCCATAAAGTAGCCCTGGTCCAATGTTTTTTATGTAATCAATGGGAATTTATCATCAGTGAGGTCAGGATCAGTTTCTCCTTCATGTCTGAAAGCAAAGTGCTGTCACTCTGGAATTTCATCCTGGAATGGGAAGGTAAGCCCGTGATCCAGCAACATTTGAGGTGAGTCCTTACATTTTTCAGCTCTGAGAGGCTGTGAGCATAGGGAATGTAAGCAGGAATGAGTGTCATTGACTTCTGTGCCAACACACATAAGGTAGGCCCTTCTATAAGCCTCTCAATATGTAGATTTCAATAGAATTTTAGTGTTTGCCCCAGATATTTTAGGTGTGGTTGGGTTTCTTCTGAGACATCCTGCCTTGCCTGCCAGCCCAGCTCTAAATAAGGCAGCCAAACGCAAATGCAGAAATGGAGAAGTCTCTTCACCATTGGGAACGCAGACTCCCAGAATAGATTTCCTGTGCCCCTCTCCACTTACTGGAGTCTTATTTCATTTTGGAAAACTGGGCACCTCTGGCTAATTTGCAAAGCACTGCCCAAGAGGTACACCAAAAATTCTCCA